TAACTGAAGAAGAGTCTTCTCTGTTCCCAAGAAGTAATCTTCCAGTCTTCACTGGAAGACCTCTAGTTAGAGGGAACCCACTATTTTCAAAAGCTGCTCTGGGTAACTCTGATTATTAGAAAGTTTTTTGTTATATTGAGTCTAAATCTTCTCTCTCTAAGTTTTACTCCTTGTTCCCTTTTCTGCAGAATTAAGTGACCCTTCTGGCACTTTCATATAATTAGAGGGGCAGCTAGGTGGCACAGCAGAGCACCGCCCCTGGAGTCAGGGCATCCTGAGATCAAATCTGGCCTCAGACATTTAACAATTACTAGCTGAGTGACCCTGGGCCTCATCAAAAAAAAAGACAAAAAATATATATATATCTAGCATGTAATTAGAGAGAGGTATCACTGCCCCTCTCCCCCTTCCACACACATTCTAATTCTTCTCTTTTCTAGGATAAACACTTTTAGTTCTTTCATCCAGCCTTGATGTGATCTTAAGGCTCTTTGCCATCTTGACCACCATCTTATGGAATTTATCATGGGCTTTCTAGATTAAGATAAAACTAAACACAGTATTTAGAAATGTCTGACCGAGGTAGAATATAAAGGCTGTATGTTAGCATATAATCTTTAAAAAACATGTTTTTTATTGACATGGCTTATTATATTAATTTCTCATGTTTCAACCATTCTCACATTCTAATATAAATGCTGCTTAGTTGTACTTTTCTTCATATGATGCTATAATCTTTTCCAGTCTTTTATTTAACATTTTTGTGTATAGTGTTCTTTTTATGGTTTACTCATATGAAGTTTAGGAATCAAACCTATTTTTGCCTCAAAATAAAATTGGGTACTTGAAATTGTTAAATTATCTTTACCATGCTTTTTTTTTTTAATACTAGACAGCCATCCAAACTTGTTTTACTACTGGAAAAATAAATCTTAGCAAAAAACAAATTTGTTAACCAAACTTTTAAAAATTCACACTTAGCTAGATCCCTATATGTGTTATTAAGTATGTAAGTTTCTTTTAACTCTGGACTGAAAGGAAGAATGTACAAAATACTACAAAGTAAGAGGGTAAAGTTCATTAACAATTCGAGGGTGGAGGTGGGATCAGGAAAGCCTCCCTCAGTTTTTAATTTTCATTTTCATCTCTGAAATTACTTCGATTAATTTTTTTAATGTACTCTATATTTACTTCTGTACATGTTGTCCCCCTCTAGTATAATGTAAACTCTTCGAAGTTAGGGATAGTTGTGCTTTTTTTTTTTCCCGTGCTGAACACAGTGCCTAGCAGATAGTAGGAGCTGAATTAATTCTTGTTTAATTAAAATGAATCATTGTGAGGTGGTACCTGAGGTTTGTTTTGAAGGAAGCTAGGGATTCCAAGACCCTCTGTCTTAAAGAGAAGAAATGCATCCCAGGCATAGGAAACAGCACAGAAGTTGGAGGGAGAAGAAACAGAGAGTGCATGGAGAGTAATAGTTAATAAGATTTGAAAAGTAGATGGGACCCAAATAATAGCTTTAAAAGCCAAGCTAAAGATTTGTATTTTATTCTAGAGCCAGTAGGAGCCCATTGGAGGTTTTTGAGACTTCTTAACTGAAATAGGAAAGTTTAGAGGAGAGAAGCTCTGGGCAGCATATAATATGCTCTGTTTTGGTGATGTTGATTTTGAGTTGCCTTTGAGATATTGCAGTAGGGCCATTCTGTATCATTTTGTACATGGGCTATTTCTCTAAGTTCTAGGAGTTTTTAAAAAAGGAGTCTTGATCAGTTTTTCTTATCCATTTCAATTCTAGCATTTGACAGAAAAGACCTTTCCAAATTAGTGATCATGTTATAAGTAAGCATCCATACTGTGGAGGGATAAGGAGAAAACCCACACATGAGACATAAATGTCCACTTGAGGCTTATTAAAGGACATTTTTTACAGCCAGATGAAGGGGATGCTTCTGTTCTGCAAGTCCGTGTTCAGATTAAGGTTGTTGAGAGATGCGTGGCAGCTCTTCCAGACTGAGATAGTTGGTGGTAGCTGTTCTTCTAAAGATGTTTTTCCAACTTTTTCCTTTTATAGAGGAAATATCCTATCTCTGATGTGTGTCATTCCATTACTTTAATAAACTCCAATGATTCTCTGTGGCTTTTAGAACCAAATATAAACTCTTCATTTAGGTTTTTAAAACCTGACACAGGGGCAGCTAGGTGGCGCAGTGGATAAAGCACTGGCCTTGAAGTCAGGAGGGCCTGAGTTCAAATATGACTTCAGACCAAACACTGGACACTTACTAGCTGTGTTACTCTGAGCAAGTCACTTAACCTCAATTGCCTAAAAAAAAAACCAACAACACCTGGCACAACCTTACTTCAGTCTACCTTCCCCAGCCTTATTATGCTTATACTTTTATCTGCACTCGATAAACCAGCCAACCCAGCCTTCTTGCTCTTCTTCATATATGACAATCCATCTTTTTCCTTTCTCTCTTTGCACTATATTTGTAGTACAGTGAGAGATAGCATGCAAAGTTACACTAGCCTAGGAGCGGAAGACTTGGGTTCTTGACTTAGTTTTGCCATTAATCAATTCCATAACATTAAGCAAGTTATTTAACTTATCTCGTGTCAGTTTCCTAATTTCTAAAATGGAGGGATAGTAGAAGAGAGGTTCCTGTGATCCTTTCCATTTTTAACATTTTATTTTTATGTGGTTAATCTTTGTTACTAATTATCATTAAACACCCTTTGTTGTGAGATGGGTGGAAAGGTAGCATAGGAAAGATATTTGGTGATTTTCTAATTCCATCAGGTATGCTCCAGTGCCTAATGGACTCTGTTCCTTATTTTATTTTATTTTTTTTCTGGCAACACCTTTCTTTCTTTTTTAATTAATTAATTTCTTTTTTAATTAATTAATTTGGTTTTAGTTTTCAGTATTCTCTTCCATAAGATTTTGAGTTCCAAATTTTCTCGCCCTCCCTACCCTCCTGCCTCCCCAAAACCGTGTGTAATCTGATATAGGCTCTACATGTACATTCATATTAAACATATTTTCACATTAGTCACATTGTAAAGCAGAATTAGAACCAAAGAATTAGAACACAAGAAAGAAGAAAGAGATTGAGAGAGAGACAGCAAATAGTATGCTTCAATCTGCATTCAGACTTTATAGTTCTTTTTCTGGATGTGGATAGTATTTTCCATCATGGGTCTTTTGGAGTTGTCTTAGATCCTTACATGCTGATAAGTATATCAAAGTAAGTCATCACACTGTGTTGCTGTTACTATGTATAATGTTCTTCTGGTTCTGCTCACTTGAGTCGGCATCAGTTCATATAAATCTTTCCAGGTTTTTCTGAAGTCTGCCTGCTCATCATTTCTTATAGAACAATAGTATTCCATTACATTCTTATACCACAGCTTGTTTAACCATTTCCCAATTGATGGGCAGACCTTTGATTTACAGTTCTTAGCCACCACAAAAAGAGTTGCTGTAAATATTTTTGTACATATAGCTCCTTTTCTCTTTTTTTTTTTTTTTAACCTCTTTGGAATATAAATCTAGCAGTGGTATCACAGAATCAAAGGGTATGCACAGTTTTATAGCCCTTTGGGCATAGTTCCAAAATGCTCCCCAGAATGGTTGGATTAGTTCACAACTCCACCAACAATGCATTAGTGTTCCAATTTTCCCACATCTTCTCCCACATTTATCATTTTCCTGTTTTGTCATGTTAGCCAATTTGATAAGTATGAAGTGGTACTTCAGAGTTGTTTTGATTTGCATTTCTCGAATCAGTAGTGATTTAGGGCATTTTTTCATATGACTATAGATAGCTTTCATTTCTTCCTCTGAAAACTACCTTTTCCTATCCTTTGACCATTTATCAATTGGGGAATGACTTGTATTCTTATAAATTTGACTCAGTTCTTTATATATTTTAGAAATGAGGACTTTATTAGAGACACTGGTTGTAAATATTCTTTCCCAGCTTTCTGGGAGTTTACTATTTAATAATGGTAGGACATTTATATAGTGCTTTAACCTTTAAAAAGGACTTTGTATTCATTCTTTCATTTGTTTCTCATATTAACCCTATAGCTGTAGTTAATTATAGGACTTATTATGCCCTTTTTTCAGTTGAGGAAACTGAGGCTCAGAGGGTTAAGTGACTTGCTTAAAACTAAACAGCTAGTAAATGAGAGATGTAGCATTTGTAAAAAGGTCTCACAAGGCTAGTAAGTGGTAGAGATAGTGACAGAGGTAGGTGACTTGCATGTAAGTCAGTTCGTGTAATTTATTACACTATTTACCAACTGTTGTTACACTTCTAGCTAAAGTATATTCTGATTTAAACTGCATTTGAAATATAGTTAGATGGTCATTATAGATAGTCTTTATAAAATGAATGGTAATTTTTTTCAATCAAAAAATTTGTCTAGATTTCTAAACCTAAGAAGTGATTAAAAGTGATCTTTAATAGCTAATTATAGCCCTTTATAAAGCATTTTACATATATTTTGATCCTCACAATAACCCTGTGATATAGATGCTATTATTATCCTCATTTTACAGATGAGGAAACTGAGGCTTAGAGAGGTTAAGTAATTTGACCAGGGTCACACAACTAGTAAATATCTGAGGCATGATTTGAACTCAGGTCTTTCTTTTTGTTTGTTTGTTTTATCAGATAAATTATTTTCATTTAATTCAGCTCATAAGAAGCATCACGACTATAGAATTTTACAATTCTCTGTTATGTAAAAATAGCAAGATTTTCTAATGTTGTGATCACTACAACTTAAGTTTAATAAGCAAGTCTATTTGAAAATTACTATTTCCTTTTAAAAATAGATTCTTTGCATAGCCCAATATGATTTTAACTGAATAATTGCGAATTGAATACAGAATACAGTTTTAAAATGCATATATGTGTTATATATGTATGTATATATATATTCTTTTTTTAGTGATTTTTGTGCACTTTTTTCCTTGTTTTTTCCTTTAGATGGGTCTAGGAAAAACAATTCAAGCAGTTGCCATAGCTTATTTTTACAAAAATGAATGGCCTCTTTTAATAGTTGTTCCTTCATCTCTGAGATATCCTTGGACAGAGGAGATTGAGAAATGGGTTCCAGAACTAGGACCGCAAGAGATCGTTATTATTCAGAATAAAACTGATGTTGGGTAAGAACAACTTAAATATAATGTAATCAAAATTATCCATTTTGCATTTAATAATGTTCTCTATCTCTTGTTTGATGATAAATTTTTCCATTCTCCATATATCTGATAGGTAAACTATATATATATATTTTTTTCAATGTGCAGAAAATATGTACTTGTTAAAAAGTTTATAAAATGTCTCCGAGTAACTTACAAAATTTGATGCCTTTGTATTCCTTTCCTGATCAGCATAGACATTTGTCTTGTTCTGTATGACGGAGTTTTATTCAACAACTTTTGATGGACATATGTAGTTAATTTAGTTTATGCAGTAATGCTTACAAATATTTCCAGTATTTTAAGGTATTTTATTTATTTATGTATTTATTATATGTTTTATATATTATTTTTATTAATATATATATTTATATATTAAATATTTTATTTCATTTTATTACAAAACCTCTTTTCCTAATTTAATTTTGCATCTACTTATGTTAAGTTTATTTGTGAATGATCTGGCTTAATGCTTAAGTAAATAAAGTAGCCATGCAAATTTACATTTCTAGAGCCTATATGTCAGGTTATACTTTTCCCAACCTTAGGTGCCTGGTTACTTGGGGAATATTTAAAAAGAGATAATAGCTAAACGGTTGTAGAAATATATAGAGCTGGTTGAAATTTAACAACATAAATGTGCATTTCATTATGAAACCAAAAAGCTTTTAAAGTTATATATGAAGTTGAAAGAGTATGGGTAAAATGAATTAAAAACAAATTTAGTACACAGTTTGCTGTTTTCTGTATAGTTGGTTACTAACTTTTAAAATTGGTACTAAGAATTGAAAGATAGTAGAATTCATAAGGTTCTAAGGAACTTTCATCATTTCTAGCCAACATAAATTGTATTGTTGTTAAACAAATATCAATGTCTTTTTCCTCTTAGTCATATTTTAGTCACATAACCATATTATTAGTTACTATAATGGTTAAAGAAAAAATAAAATATTTATTTATATTTAAACATTTATTAAATTAAATTATTTTATTAAATTAATTTTTAAAATTAATTTTATTAAATTAAAATATTTATAATGCTTAAATAAAAAATAATTTTATTTGATTCACATATAGATTACTCTCCCTCTAGACATGCCCTGGTTGTATATGAAGTCATTATTTGTAATTTCTTCTGCATTTTGTTTCCTAAATAGAAAGAGAAAATCACAAATCCTCTTACCATAGCCAGTCAGAACTCAAAAATTCTGACTGCATTGTTGCCATTGACAATTATGTATTCTAATCTATTAGAAAGCAGAGAGCTGAATAATATTGTCTATTGTTAGTTTGCACTGTTTATAAAGAAAAAATGTTGAAGTAGTATCTATCATTTAGAGTTAACCATCATCTGTGCACAGCTATAGTGTTCTTCTGTTTTCTTAATAACAAGATGAAAAAGAAGTGAATTTTTATTGTCATCATGAACTAATAAATTCATTTTTAGTATGTGATTAAATGAATAGATTAAAAATATTTCTCAGGAATAATTTTTATATTGTAAGAATTTCACTTATTGAATATTATTACTTTTAAGTTGTAGTTTAAGCAATCAAAACTTCTTTTCTCTTAGACTAAGGATACATAAAGTCTTCATAATCCTTTTTCTCCCCAAAAATAGAATTATAGCCTCTAATTTTCTTTTCTTTTTCTCTTCCCCTTTATTTCTCTTCCCTCCAACAATAGTTATATTTTCCAATGTAAATTGCTAACTGACATTTTTTTTTTAAAACCTCTATTTTCTTTCCTAGGAGAATATCGACCAGCAAAGTGACAGTTCTAGGTTATGGTCTATTAACTACAGATGCGAAGCTTCTGATAGACACTCTATACAAACAGAACTTTGAAGTCATTATAATAGATGAATCACACTACATGAAGTCCAGAAATGCATCCCGAAGCAAGATTTTGTTGCCTTTAGTACAAAAATCTAGAAGAGCCATTCTTCTTACAGGGACTCCAGCTTTAGGAAGACCTGAAGAGGTATTAAAAATAGAAATTTTTAGCGTGTGTGTGTGTGTGTGTGTGTGTGTGTGTGTGTTTCCAGGAAAGTTAATTGAATCAATGACCTACTGTTTTGTAACATGTTTTTAAGTTTAGATACCTTAGACTCCCAGAGAGAATTCCTGAGTACTTTTTCTTAGAGACATAATAATGATTATAAAGTATCTTATAATGAACATTCTCAAATAGATTTAGCATGTGGGCCTACACAGTAGGTGCAACCAGGCAAACATTTATTTTATCTGTTTTCCGTAAGGCATTGTATCTAGGCACTGAGGATACAACAATAATAAAAGTTTTGTGTTTTTTTTTAAAACAGTACTTAACTTCAAGTAGCATGCATTCTACAGTCGGGGTGAAGGCAGGACTAGGGACTAAGCAGGAGGAAAATGAGTTTTACATACAGAGATAATATACAAGATAATTTATGGAAGGAGAAATTAGCAATAAACCAGCAAATTATAGTAGGTTTCATGAAAGATGTGGTATCTTACCTTAATTATGAAGTACGTTAAAGATTTTAAGAGGAAGAATGTACTATGTGAAGGGATAGAGAAAGGGGTTGCTGTGCTGAGTTTGAGGAGCAGCAAATATTCAACTTTACCTGGAACATGAGTGAAAAAATACACTGGAAAGTTGGAGCCATTTTATGGAGCATCCTAAATACTATGTAGAAGAGTTTTTATTTTATTATAGAAGTAATAGTGAGCCACTAAGTTTTTGAGCAGGAAAGTGATATGGTCACATCATACTTGTGCTTTAGGAAGACTATTATGGCAACTGTATAGAGGATATATTAGAGATGGAATATTATGGAAGCAGGGAGATTAATTTGAATGCTATGACAGTGTATTATAGGAGAAGATAATAAAGTTTGGTACTAGAGAATAGCCATATGAATGAGGAGAGTGGCAAAGGCAAAAGAGATTTTGTGGAGGTACAATCAGTAGTATTTGGCCACTAACTGGATATGGTGGGGGAAGAAGGGGAGAGGAAAAAAAAATCCAAAATGACATAAAGCTTGGTGACTAGAAGAATGGTTATGTTATCAACAGAAGTTAAAAAAAAAAAAGACGCTTAGAGGAGAGCAGCTTTGGCGTTGTTGACCATTTTTTTTCCTACTGCACACTCTCTCTGGATTTTCATGACTCTTCCTTCTCAATCTCCTTTGTTGGATACTCATCCATGTCATACCCAGAAACCAAAGTTCTGTCCACAGCAGAATTCGTTGTCCGCTCTACTACTCCCTCCCCCCCAAATTTTGACTTCTGAATTTTACTTCTTATCTTGTGGACATTGCCAGTTACCCAAAATCACAATTTCAGTGTTGTCTTTGACTCCTCGTTGTTGCTCAGCCTACATAGCTAACCATGGCCAAACCTTGCTATTTTTTCTCCACAACTTCTTTCCACTCATGTAGTTGCCACTCTAGTTCAAACTCTCTATCAAGTCTCTCCAATCTCTTCCGTTTTCTATGTAGGTACTGAAGTAATAACTGACCGTATGTCTGCCAGTAGCTCCCTGTCAACCCTGCCCTCCCCCACCCCAACTCCAATAGCTCATTATTACCTCTGGGATCAAATATATTGTACTTTGTTAATTATTAAAGCTCTTCACAACATGGCCCCTTCCTTCTTTTCAGTCTTTTTATATAGAACTTCCATGCATTTTATAGGTCTATGTGCTGTCTTTCACATACAGTGTTCCATCTCCTGACTACCTTTGCAATGGCTGTCCCCCATGTCTAGCGTACTCTTCCTCCAGAGTCCACCTCTTAGAACCCCTGACTTCCATTAAGACTTAGATCAAGCACCATTTTCTACTGGAGGCCCTTCCTAGTCTGTCTATTAAATACAGCCTTCCTCTCTAAAGCTCCATTTCATCTACTTAATATGTCTCTTCCATGTAGCAATTCATGTACATGTTGGATTTTCCATTAAAATGTAAATTCCTTGAGGGCAAGAACTTTTTTTCCTTTTTCTTTGTATCTCCACTACTTTAAACATAGTTCTTGGAACTCAATAAGTCCTTAATAAAGGCTTGATTGATTGAAGAGTAAAGATGATGGGTTCTGTTTTGTTTGTGTTGAATTTGATATACTAATAGTTGTTGATAGATCATTGGAGTCCAGGGAGAGAGTAGAGTTTCATAGATTTGGGAATCATCTACTTAGAGATGGCAGTTGTGAGTCAGTCATCAAGCATGTATTAAGAGCATATCATGTACCATATATATTGCTAAGCTCCATTCTAATGTTGATAGCATGCAAAAAATTTGGACATAAAATATGTATCATGTACTAGGTAGTAAAACCAAACTACTAAAGGAAAGTATTGCTCTTGTTGCCCATCCTGTAAATACTTGGAGATTTCTTTATAGTAACATTCCATTTTTCCAAAAGCTTTTTTTCTATATAGAGCAGCCAAAGAATGACCGTATGCCAAGACCTCTCAAGAATATGAAGCTATAGAGCACCATATACATGTTTGGAATATCTAAGGGTATCTATGAGTATTCAGCAGCAATGGAAAACATTTTTATAGTTTGGACTGATTGTAGGATTAAAACTTTTTGGTGTCTTGGTAAGAAAGACTTAAGTTCTAGAAATACTTTTCTCTCAATTTTTAGTGAAATATTCTTCACGCTTCATGAAACATTTTAAAAACATGAAGCTAAAGTCATTTTAGTTTCCACTTCTCATGTATTAGTATAAATTAATCTGTGAAAGAAAGTGAATTTGCTTAGTGATTGAAAAAATGTTGTTTGATCCTAACTCTGAGGTGAGATAGCAATCTCATAGCATGTAAGTATGAGATATACAGCAGGATTACATGGATCAAAGATTGTTTCAGATGTTACTGGCTGGGAGAATAGTGCTGTTACTGCTACACAGGGTAACTGAGACCAGAAGCTAATGTGTATGTTAAATGGAGGAGCCAAGGGAAGGGTAATGAGTGAAGGGTAATAACTTTGGAACATAATTGAGTTTGGGATGATAGTGGATGAGAAGGAAAGGGGCAGCATTACAAACCTTCAGGCTCCTAAGGTATCTTACTAAAGGGATGCTGTGGGAAATATGATATTTTCTTCAGCCTGCTGCTCCTTGTTGAAACTTCAGCTCTCTGGCAAGTCAGAGACCTCTGGGCACCTTCCCCTATTCCTGCACGGTTAATTCAGACCACAAATGTCTTGAGTGTCTTCGAAGCATAGATGAGCCTCTGGCTCAAGTTAGTTATCATTGGCAGAGTCAGGGATAATGTCTTCCTTTACTTTTCCGCAACAATCTGCTGCCCTGGGATCTACTGCAACTCTTTCAAAACTAAAGATTGGCTCTATCACAACTTGACTCAAAACCAAAGTTTCATATATCCTACCTTTAATTTCCAGGACTCAGCTCAGGACATGAACTTCAAACCTAAGTACCTATCTACCACGACTCAAATTAGCACCTGCATCTTAAATACTAAATCTCTTAACTCTAGGATCAGGGTCCCAGACCCCTAACCTGTGGGACCAGAGCTTCCAACAATAGTCCCATCACCTTAAGGAACCATCCTAGGATCAAAAATTAAATGCCTTCCTTGACATTCACTTTGCCTAGATATTTTTTTCTATCTAGGCCTTGATGGCAGTTAAGGACCAGCCCCCCTGTCATTTTCCTTCCTTTTTCAAAAAGGTGACAAACCCTTACCCCTATACTAAGAAACTTCAACATATACATCAATGCTCCTTCAGATGCCTTGGCCCTTCAGGTCCTCAACACCTATGACCTCCTCCTTCACTCTATGGGGCCACATACAAAGGGAAGATCATACCCTTGATTTCATTATCCATCCCCTACAATTGTTCCACTTTCAGGAGCAAGAATCCTGAAATTCTCGTCTGACATAATCTCATTAGTCCAACTTCCCTGTGCCTCATTCCTCCCAAACCTATTCTTCATACTCACCATGACCTCCAGGCCCTCTCAGTATTCTAACAGGCCATCACCTCGATTCTGGCTTTACTTTCCTCACTTCTGACTCTTAACCAGTCCCCTTGTCTAGTCGTAACATGACCAACCCCAATTCGGAATTATTTCCACCATTTGCTTTTCCTAATTACTTAGTGGTACAGGGGAAAGTCATACAACCATGTTGACTGGCTCTACTACAGATTTATGTGATCTGATCTCAACTGGTTCCTTCTGGCAGCAATGCAACTCTTTTACTATTCCTTAATTAATTCTCTGTATCACTACCTACAAGATCTATTCTAAACCTTTTCTTTTCCCCTTATGTATTCTTCACCATCTCCCCACACTCTGCCCCACCAACACAGTAGAGTACTTTGCCTGATACTATACTGAGAAAATAGAAAACATTAACCTTGAGCTTCCTTTTCTCTCTACTCTATATCTCATGATTCCTTTCCATCTTTGCCTCATCTCTCTTCTTTTACTCTCTGATGAAGATGTTAGTCCTTTTTCCTTTTCTTCTTTCTAAGGTCAACCCAACTTCATGTGCCCTTGATTCCATCCCTTCCCATCTCTTACTGTAGATTTTCCCAATAATCATTGCCCTAAGACACCCATTTTTTAAATTTCTTAACTATTTATTGGGTCCTTCCTGGCTGCTTTTGAACATCCTGGGTTTCCTCATCATTAAAAAACCCTCACCTGATCCTCCCTTGCCTCTCTTTCACAACCAAATTTCTGGAAAAAGCCTTTTACTTTCCTTGTTTCCAATCTTTCCTCTCTTATTCACTTCTCAGCCATTTGCATTCTGGCTTCCAACCCCATCACTCAACTGAAATTACCTTTTCCAAAGTTACCAGTGATCTCTTAATTGCCAAATCCAAGGGTCTTTTGCCCATCTTTATCCTTGATCACTAGGATTTGTCACTATGACCACCTTCTCCTATATATGAGAGCAGTCTCCTGTTCTCTATGTTTTCATAACACCAGTCTCTCCTGATTCTACTCCTCATTTAACTGTTCCTTCTCAGTCTTCTTTGGTATCATAGCATCCATATCTTGGCTTCTAACTGTAGGTATATCCCAAGATTCTGTGCTCAACCCTTTTCTCTGTCTATGCTTTTTGTCTTTATAAGCTCATCAGCTCTCATAGGCTTTTTTTATCATCTCTTCACAACAGTAAGAGGGCTACAAGATCTATATATCCTATAGTCTCTATATATCCTACAGTCTCTATATATCCTGTAGTCTATATAGCTCTAGTCTCTCACTTGTGCCTTAGTCACCAACTGCCTATTGACAGGTCTTTCTGCCAATTCTGCCAACATTTCAAACTGCTCTACCATAGTCATTTCAAACTCAGCATGTCTAAAACCAAACTCATTCTCTTTCTCCTCAAACACTTACGTCTTTCTAACATCCTGATTTCTGTCGAGGGCACCACTGTACTTCCAGTTGCCCAGGTTAGCCACTTAACACTATCAGCAACTCCTATCTCTTCCTAATTTTACATATCCAATCAATTGCCAAGCCTTTTTGTTTTGACTTTTACATTTCTTGTATTTGTCTACTCACTACCCACAGCTCTTAGAGCTCCTGCCCTAAATCTGGGTCTTATTGCCTCTCGAGTTAGGAGACCATCCTCCACACAGCTACCAAAGTGATTTTCCTGAAATGTAGTTTTTACTATGTCACTCTCCTCATCAGTAAACTCCACTGGCTCCCATTATTTCTAAGATCAAATACAAATTCCTTTGTTTGACATTTAAAACCTTTTATATTTTGGCTCTAGCCTACCTTTCCAGATGTTACACATTTCTCTCCTTCTTCTACTCTGTCGTTTAGTCAAACTAGCTTTCTTGATATTTTTCCCATACAACATTCTATCTCTAGTGTCCATATGTTTACACAAATTGCCCCGTCATGCCTGGATGTACTCGCTTCTTATCTCTCCCTCTCAGCATCCCTACCCAGCTTTCTTGAAAGCTCAGCTCAAGTGCTAACTCCTTCCTACAAGAGGCCTTTCTTGATACTCCTCAGCTTTTAATGCATTTCCCTGAAATTGCCCTGTATTTCTTTTGTGTATATCCTACAAATGTGTACATGATTCTCTCCCCCACCCCTCAAAAAATGTAAGTTCCTTGCTGGCAGGGACAGTTTCATTTTGTCTTTGTATCTCTGGTGCCTGGGGCATAAAGTAGTGTCTCATATAATAAATGGTTGTTGATAGACTGTTACTAAAATGCCATGTATTTTTGGTTGATGAAGGAAAAATTTTAAGTTACTGTTTGAAGAGATTTTAAAATACTATTAATATAATAAGCTTAAAATAATTTAGGTTAAATTAAAAGTATATGACTATATTAAAGTATTGTTGTTGTTGTTTTTAGCTTTTTATGCAGATTGATGCACTTTTCCCAAAACAATTTGGAACATGGACTGAATATGCAAAAAGATACTGTAATGCTCATGTCAGGTACCTACTCCTAAACATCTTCTCTATGTGTTTCTCTGTCTCTTTCTCTCTGTCTTACAAATGTATGTTTTACATTGTATATACACACAAATATATTATATAGACACATGTAGATATACATGTATACACACATACACACATTCAGCTGTAGACTGAGTTATACAGCTGCTTTAGAATTGTGAATAGAACATATTTATAAATGACTTTCTTATTCATGTCAGTTGTTAAATGATGCAATAAATTACAATCTCATTAAATACATATATAAGCTGATGTATATGATTTAGACCTAGGATCTTAACTCTGAGAGATCTTAAAAGTTTGGATTAATGGTCCCTAAAGCAAATGGAATAAATGTTATTAAGGTCATTTAAATGCAGTTCCCCTTGAAAGTATAACAATGAACTTAATGACTCTCCAGTCTTTCACAATCCAAAGATGCTGATAGTTCATAAGGAAAACAGAGAGTTTTCTTAACATCCCAGAAAAAGAACAAAGCAAATAAAAATGGTAACAGTCATTATATTCCTGTATTCCAGCTTTGCCCTTTTAACTAAAATAGAGTTAACCAGAAAAACAATTGTAGAGTCCCGTGGCTTATTGCTGAGTGTATTAAGAGATTACAGTTCTATAATTTCAGTTTAGCTGGTTATGTATTGACTCAGAATTTTTAATTATTTTCTCTGAATGCCGAATGGCTTTATTTAATGAAATCAACTTGTGATGATAAATTCAAATGAATACTGACTTGGCCACTATAATAATTAGTCCCTTCTCTAGGCTTTTTAAACACACACACACATACACACACAATGGAAAATTAAATAGTTATTTGTTTTGTTTTGTTTTTTTAGTACTACACAATTCCAAAACTGTCTTTCCTGTATTAAGTTCAAAAATCAACAATCATCCCTTAAAATAAATTGATTTCCCTCTGTATCATCAATTGACACCATTCTAGACACTGTTAGGAAGCTTAAGGTTACTATTCTATTGACTATAAATGTGTGACCATAATAACAAATAATATGGCAGATACTGATGAGTAGGATAATGTTTTCTGTTTTTCTTAGACCATTTTGGTGATGGCCAAAATTTTGTTGTTCTTTTTGGACACTGCAGTTCAATGGAATGATGTCTTCACAGCAGCAATTCACAAACTTTTTGGTTTCAGGACCCCTTTATATTCTTAGAAGTTTTTGAGGGATCCCAAAGAGCTTTTGTTTATGTGGGTTTATTGTATCAATATTTATTGTATTAGAAATTAAACTGATAAAGTTTTAAAACATTTATTCACTTAAATTAATAATAATAAGCCCATCATATGTTAACATAAATAACATTTTTATGAAAATAACAAAATCTTCTCAAACAACAAACAAGTGAGAAGAGTGGCATTGTTTCACTTTTTTTTTCTAATTCCTTTAATGTCTGACTTAATAGAAGACAGCTAAGTTTTCATATCTGCTTTTGCATTCAGTCATGTTGTGTTTTGGCTGAAGTATATGAAGAAAATCTTGCCTCACAGATACAAAGTTGAAAAAACGAAGAGTATTTTCATAGGCAAATAATGTCTTAGTTTTATTATAAAAACAGTTTCGCCCTCTAAGACCCCCAAGGATTCACAGAACACACTTTTTAAGCATTGCTGGTCTACAAAGACTCTCAAGTTTATTTTCTACTTTCTAATTGATAGCTCAGAGCCCTTCATTTTATAAGTTTCATGATTTTTCTCAAATTATAACTCATATGCCACTTTCCTTCCCACTTTCACAAACTCATGAGATTTTTTTGTATCATTTATCTCCATTGTCTTTGCTCTTTGCAATTTGGAAAAATTTAGTGTCATCTAATAATTTGCACATTCCCTCCTCCAGGTCATTTATTAAAATGTTAAATAAGACTGAACCTACCAATGATTTCTGAGGAATTGAGCACTTTAAATTTCTCCTTTCACAAAAGTGTCATTTATCCCTATCATTTGTTTCCTGTCTGTATCACAGTTTCATATCCGTGACAGGGAAGCCTCCTCCTCAGTCTCATTGTGACTGAATCATTATTTTAATTTTTGGTGTGGAACCTTGTGAAGAGGGTTTTAGAAAGGTTAAGTAAATCTCTAATTTTCTCCTTTATTTACCCCTCCAAGAATTCCATTAAGTTATCCAAGCAAATTCTACCTTGTTCCCTTCAGCAAGCATTTATTAATAACTTCCACTGACCTGCCTATGAGGAGGTTATAGTTTGGAGAGTATTCTACTTGGAGGGGACCGGATTGGGGGAATCTATTATAATATATGCAGAAAGGCAGGGAGAGAGCAGCAATTCTGTCTTTTAAAACAATTTAAAAGGTAAGGCCCAAGTTTACTCCAATCCAAGGTGGCTTAGTTTTTCATGTCTCAGCCTCATCATTCAACTAAAACTCTTCTCTCTAAAGTTACCAATGATCTCTTAATTGGTAAATCTAATGGCTTTTTCTCATTTCTCATCATTCTTGTCATCTCTTACAGCCTGTTTATCACTGTTGATCATCCTATTTTCCTGAATGCTCTTTCTAGATTTTTGTGACATTTTACTCTCCTGAACATTATGTTACTTAATATCTGATGATGTAGTCTACCCATCTTATTGTTCTGCTTGGTGTCTTTTCCCAGGCCATGCCGTTGACTATGGGTGTTCTGCAAAGCTCCATCCTCTTCTCTTCTCCTCTCTACAGGATCTCACTTAGTGATTTCAGGTCCCATGAGCTCAATTATTATCCCTCTGCAGTAGATTATCAAATATAATCATCCAACCCTAATTTCTTTTCTGCCCCGTCCCTCCCTCCCCGAGTCTTGTGTCATTAATTGCTCATCCTGAATGGGAGATACTTCTATACGTATATTAGTCTCCCTAATAGCATGTCAGCCCCTTGAGTGCAAAGACTATTCCATTTTTGACTCTGTATGTTCAGTGCCAGGCACATGGCTTAGCACAACATAGATACTTAATAAATGCTTATTGATTGGTCCAGACTTTTTATTTCCCCTTTGGCCTCCTCATAAAAGGTAATTAATGGGGGAGCAAAATGGTTTTTGACCCTGTGTTCCTTGATCAAATATCCCTAGTATACTGTACTTGGACTGAACTGAAAAACTGACTTTTCCTAAGGCCAATGGACACTGAACACATATGTAGTGACCACTTGCTTTCAGCAAGTTATATAATGATTTATGCCCTCCCTATCCCCAAAGGAAGCCACTGAATAAAATGTGGGCTTATGAGAAGTAAAACAAACAAACAGACCTTTAAAAAAAATAATACATATAAACAAAACATTCTTCTTAAACTGAGGGGCAGGGACCGTACTATAAATACAGATGACAAAAGGTCATTAGATCGCTTTCAACTTGCATAGGAAGGAGGGGTCATACAAGTCTTTATGGAAAAGCTAGTATTTAAGCTAGGCCTTTAAGTCAGTACAAAGGAAGAAGACATTTAAGGCCTAGGGAACGTCTAAAAGCAAAAGTAGTGAGGTGAGAAAGTGTAGCGCTTATTCACAAGGTAGAAAATAGTCCAGATTAGCTAGTATTAGAGGGAGGCATGTGAGATACATCCAGAAAGCCCAGTTAGATCCAGATTACAATGGGGCTTAATTAATAGAAGAAGACATTTGTATTTCATTCCATAGGTTGTGAAGAAGCTGTTCTCAGTTTTTGAGCAGTGGAGTGACATGATTAAAATTGTGCCTTAAGAAGATTAATCTAGGAGCTTTGTGTTTAATGGGTCAAAGCAGAGTTCAAAAGCCATGGTAGTAGTACAGGCTTTTGCTAGTGTCCTGGCAGTGGTAGAGGAAAGAATGAGGACTGATAAGAGAGCTAATTCCGAGGGAGAATTGATAATTCTTATTTACTTATAACTAGTAGAGTGTAACTTTTGATATAACATTGAAAAGGATGAGGTTCTTGTAACTAGATTGCATTGAGATTGCATGCTGTGAAGAACCTTTAGCCCTTCATTGTGAAAATAAGTACACATTCAAACAATTCTTTGGAGCATTCTTTCTTCATTTTTTTCAGGTATTTTGGTAAACGAGCTCAGTGGGACTCCAGAGGTGCATCAAATCTAGGTGAACTTCATCAGCTATTAAGTAATATAATGATCAGGAGATTAAAGACTGAAGTTTTAACCCAGCTACCCCCTAAAATTAGACAACGTGTTCCATTTGATCTTCCATCTGCAGCAGCAAAGGTGAGGATCCCTTACTTTTTTGAAAATCATTTCCTAAGTTATTTCTAAAAATAATGAAGTTATTGCAAAATGTACATTTAAAAATATTTGCTGATATAAAAAGCTGCTTACCTGAAAGAGTTGTTATTAATTAGGGCATCATTTCCCAGACTACATTGTATAGTAGAACCCTGCTGTTCAAAGTGAATAGGTGCTCCTTGAGAAAATTTCAGTGTTGTAACTATCATTGTAATACTAAATGATTAAACATGAAATGTGTTTTAAAAACATTGGATGCTGAATTTTTTCATATATAAAATTGGGCTGAATTCTACTATTTTGCTCTAAAATCTCCTTCCCCAACCTTTATCCTGGTGGCATCCTATGCTCTCTGGGCCAGCGTTGATGAGTTTTGTCAAACCCAGAAGTGTTTCAGGGCCAAATAAGTTTAGGGAATACTAAACTAGAGAAAATAAACTGGTTTTTGTGTCCTTTTGGTACATGAAGGCTGAAAAGAAACATAATTACAGCTTTTAAGTATGTGGAGAAACGTTATATAAATAATGATAAATAATCTTTCCCTTTTTCCTCTGATGATAGAATAAGAGGACTAATATTACAGCACATAGTGTTTTTCTTGAACATTAAGGAAAGATTTATTTCCTCAGAGCTTTTACGAAACACCGAAATTAATTATCAATGGTGGTTGTGGAGTCTTCTGCTCTAGAGATTTTTGATGACAGGGTAGTCCACTATCTACTTGTATAATTTGGATATAGTTCTGCCCCAGAGATCTGCTTCCAGTTCTGTTTTCACTCTGTGAAATGTGCTAATCATCACACTAGAAAACCAAAAATAAATTACATTGAAACCTCATATGCACTTACATCTGAAGAATTTAGTTTTCATATTGTTAAATCTGCTTAAATCTGGGCTTATATAAGAGGCTTTCTGACAGAAACTGCATCATCTTCCAGTCTTGGTAGATTTATGCCAAACATTTTTCCAACGCTTTCTAAAATAAGAATAAAGTGACTTTATATTCAGTTATTCCAACACTGCAGATGAAAATATAATTGAAGGAAGTCAATATCTGATTCTACTGCATTTTTAAAAAATTAAGTAACATTCCCCAAATCTTTATGCCTGTTTAAATGAAACTATATCTTGCTGTAAAAGTAACTTGTTACCATATATTTTTTCTATGCCCTCCTTTCTTATATAATTAGATTTTTTTCTTCTTGCTTTGCAAATTGTTTCTCCTTAAGAGAAAGCTCTTTGTGTTTGATTTATGATGTTAGCAAAGTGCTTTATTTTCACCCACAGCTTGTCATTGGTTTCTATAATTGGTAGGAACATGTGACTGACCTACCTCTGCATTGACGTTTTTGTATGAGCAGGCTGGTATCTTTGGGAATTTTCTCTTCTTTCCGTACCTTTCTGTAGCAGAAAAAAGTAGGACATGATTCACAGTTACATTAATTGTTCTGCCCTTTATGCTGTATTTCTAAACATTGTTCTTTCCTCCCACATAGGAATTGAATACTAGCTTTGAAGAGTGGGAGAAATTAATGAGGGCTCCACATTCAGGTGCCACCGAGACTGGTAGCCACTTTTTTCAAGCCATGGGGCTGATGACCCGTATGTTTAAACAAACAGCTATTGCCAAGGTATTCTTGAAATTTCTGTGTAATTCTATTTTATTCTTGATGAAGATTATTTTAAATAATTTAGTTTAACATCTTATTTTTAAGACTGCCCCTTGCGTCATTCTTCTCATTCACTTCATCCCTATATATAATGCTTTCCCACCCACTCATGCTGAACCTTATAAAAACCTTATTATCTTCTGTTCTGGTGGTTTCATTTTATCTGTTTGTCAAATTGTCTTTTAATTAAATGTAGCCATACTCTGTCTTCAATTTATATATATATTTCTATAGATGTACGTGTGTATGCATATATGTGTATATATACATATGTATGTATGTGTATACATAATACACATACACATGCATACATACATACATGTGTGTATGTGTGTGTGTATACACCTTCTCACTTTGCTTACTTTTTTATTGTAAATGAAGTTATTTAAATCTACAAGTTGTGATTATAAAGTAGAGTCATAGATTTGGAGGCACCTTAAATTAGAGGTGAGCTGTCCAATGGTGTCAAACTTATATAGAAACGGACCCCTGCAAGCTGCACAATGATGTAAAAATTCACAAATCAATAGTATCTGTGTTGTATTTATTTTGTTAAACATTTCCTAATTACATTTTTATGTGATTTGGGATGTACTTGGTAGTTTTGCAGGCCTTGAGTTTGACACCTCTGATCTAGTCCACCCTTCTTCTTTCACAAATGAGAAAAGTAAGATGGAGAGATGTGATTTCTGCAAGTATTACAGTGGCCAAGCTGGGAACTGAGTCAAAACCTTCTGACTCATGTTCCATGGCACTGCATCATGCTGATTTCTACATAAGGACACTAGGGTTTTTTTTTCCTATCTTACTAGAATTTATGAATCTAAATGAATCACAGAATGTCACAGAAATCAGAGGTGTAAAATGTCATCTTAGCTTGTATAACTCTTACCTGGAGATATTGTCTACCTTGTAATGACTCTACCTCATATGGTAAGCCCATTTAATTTTCAGCTATCTAGTTAGTAATACCTTCTTTGGTTTTGAGGTGAAATCTGTCTTCCTTATAATTTATACTCACTTATTCTAGTTTTTCCCACCTTAACTATGTAGAATGTCTAATTCTTCTTCTATGTGACAATCTTTGAAGTAGCTGAAAACAGCTATTATGTACCCTCTATAATCTTCTCTTCTCCATGCTAAAAAGTTCTGATATCTTTGATCATTCCTTATGTGAATTATAGTTTCAGGTTCATATATCACATTGGTCTCCTCTTCAGAATGGACTTTAACTTTTCAGTCTCTCTCTCTTATGGTAGAGTACTTAAAATTGCATACACTATCCAAATGTGGATTTACCATTACAGATTACAATGGAATTCCAACTTAACATATTCTGGTAATTAATAGTTGCTTTTTCATTTATTCATTCATGCATATATACATGCATTCATTCACCTATCCATATACTTATTTAAATGATCCTCCTTTCAAGTCAACCTCCTTTGTACTGATCGACCAATTCAACAAACTATCCTTCCAAGAGTTCTTGTCATAGTCAGGACAATAGACATTTCCATCCATTTGGTTTTGTTCGTATTGATTGCTGGATTGATCTTTTTTGAATAATCAGAAGACTTCTTTCATTTGAATCTTGTGCAACAGATTTACGGCAATGGGATCAACTTTGGCAAGTGTATATCTCCCTATTCTGTATGTACCTTGGTATTAATAATAAGCCTGTCATAGTCAGGACAATAGACATTTCCATCCATTTGGTTTTGTTCGTATTGATTGCTAGATTGATCTTTTTTGAATAATCAGAAGACTTCTTTCATTCGAATCTTGTGCAACAGATCTACAGCAATGGGATCAACTTTGGAAAGTGTATATCTCCCTATTCTGTATGTACCTTGGTATTAATAATAAGCCTGTCATTGTATAGGGCTATTTCTCGAGTGTGATCTTAACATGCATACATACACACACATATGTGTATATGTGTGTGTATGTATGTATATCTATCTATATGAGATTACTATTTGGAACAACATCTTTAAGGCCGAAGTTTCCTTTACCAAGTTAAATACTTCCTTGTGATTAACAGATGATAGCTATAGCAATATCTTATATTCTCTGCATCTTTCAATCAGTTGTGAGAATGTAAAGAAAATCATTTAAATGAGTATATGGATAGGTGAATGAATGCATGTATATATGCATGAATGAATGAATGAAAAAGCAATTATTAAGAATTTGCTTTGTGCAAAGTACTGTGCTAAGCACTAGCAATACAGAGCACAAAAGGTTCCAAGCTCATATTCCAGTGAGGGAGACAATAGATACAGATGGTTTTATCTACAAATCAGAAGGAACTATCCCACAGTCCATAGAGTACAGCAGCAAAAAAGATGGTAATATGTCTTTCAAAATGTCATTTCTACAGATAAAATCCTATCAATTTCTGATGTTGTGTCATTTGACAGTGCCAAGAACCTTGGTGGCAAGAACTTTCTTTTCTGTCTTTATCAGCTGTGGCTCTAATGCTTGTGAAAGCCTTTCTATTCTTTTCTCATATTTTTACTAAGGATACTTTCAATATGGATATAAATCAGTCTTATAAAGATGAGAAAGTGGGCTCCCTGATTACTAATGTTCTCTCTGTCAACTTTTTGTTAGTATTAACGTCATCCATTTTCTGAGATCTTATAAAAATACTCTTCAGTATTTTCTAGGCTGTGTTACTTCCAGTGTGTCTTTCCTTGGTTTATACTCAGCTGGGTCTAGCTCTTCTTCCCAATTTCATCTTCCTAAATGCCATTTCTACTTTTCATATATTACTTTAGGGACTAAGGCAGGAGTGGGGAACCTGCAGCCTCAAGGTCACATGTTCCCCACCCTGGGACTAAAGTGTCAGATTCCCTCTGTTGATGAAAATACATTTTTATAATAACATTGATATATTTTTTTATGTCTGTATGTTTTCCTCACATGTTTGTTTTAGGAATACTGTGGGATGATATAGCTTATTTGGCTCAAACCAGACTTTCTTAATATTTCTTTTAAATTTGGTTCCTTTTCACCATTTTATTAGGCAATATTCCTTTTAATTATCTACCATCTTCTATTGTGAGATGTTGGAAACAAGATAAAAGTCTAAACCAGTGTTGCCCCCTAATTTCCATCTCTTTCTCTGTATCAAGGAGTTCAAGTTTTGGCTGACTGAGGAAATTAGAGGCTCCTTTAGACTTCTTATTTTGGTAATTTGGTTAAACTTCCTTAGGAAATGGTGATTTGTGTCACTATCTGTTCCTTTATCAATTCCCTATTTTTTCACAAAAATTTTGATTTGATCTTGACCTGTGCTATTATTAGTGAAGGAAATTCCTAGAGTGGACAATCTCTCCACTGACAATGATTGGCACCTATAACTTGGAGTCTTAGAGAGTTGCCTGATAACTTAGAGGTTAAGCAACTTGGCCAGGGTCACATAGATAGTATGTGTCAGAGACAAAATTTGAGTTCTTAATGATTTCACATATGACTCTCTGTCTATTATACTATGCTGCCTTCTTTAGTGTTAATTAATAGCTTGTATAAATAGGTCACTGTGAACCTGTTTTTAATTGCATACCATATCTTCCTATCAACTCTATTCTTCTAATTTGGTGTTGTTTTTGATCTTTGCTCAAATAAGTTGTTGGTGTGAGTATACATAGTTGATTAAAAATGACTTTCATATCAGTAACCATTTTCCAACTGTTAAAACATAGTTATAAAATTGACTGAAAGGTACAGAGAATACAAGATCATACTGTGCTAATTGTTTGGTGTCTATGAAAAAGCATTTCATTTTGTAGAATAGAATGCTGACTTTACTGCTTTCTTCCATGATGTATCCCATGCTAAGGTAATAAAAGGTTATTTAATGAATTCAACAACAGATATAGCTTTGTTAATTTAATCTGTTAATATCAAGTAAGGTATAAAACAGAAAGGTGTGTGTTTCCCTAGTGTTGTATGTTACTGTCAGAGAGGATGGAAACGGAAGACTCCAAATGAAAGAGGAATATCTTGTAAATGATGTGGTCCTCCAGATATCTCTGTTTGAGGATTTGAGGCAACACAGTGGCACAGTGATAGAACACTGGATCTGGAGTCAAGAAGACCCAAGTTCAAATCTGTTCTTAGACATTTACTAGCCATGTGACCCTGAGCAAGTCATTTAACATCTCTCAGCCCCAGTTTCCTCCTCTGTAAAATGAGGATACTAGGATCAGCATTCCAGAGTTGTCATGAGGATCTAAAGAGATTTTGGTAAAGCACTTTACAAACTCTAAAACATTATATAAAGTCACTTAGCCCCCTAACCTGGTCCATCGGTACATATATCTCAAACAAACACAGTGAACTGAGTCTAGAATAAACAGATGGAAGAGAGGAAGACTGGGTTGCATTCAGAAAATTATGTATCCCATTCAATGATCTCAGTCTTCTCCCTGAATCAAAAACCTCTTTTTAATATGACATGGTTACATAGAGAAAATTTGTGGCTAGGGAAACTGCAATGACTTGAACTCTTTATTTCTAGCTTTACTGGCCAAAAGTGGCCCCAAGAGAATATACACCTGAAAAGTTCTGAACAGCTACTTGGTAGAAACCCTGTTCGAAGAGGAAAGGGCTTCCTGGCTGAGTAGCCACAAAGCAGTGGCATAAACCATTAATGCTTGAAAAAGGCCTGCACCATGTAAAAGCTTTTGGGAACCAGGGTGATTATAGGACCATGATAAGACCTGATGAAAGCAGATTAGAGCTCAGGTGAAAGTATAGATGCCTGATCAAGAAGAAGATGCATGCCATGGAAAGTAAGAAGAAAGTAGACTCTGGATCAGCCCCAGGTTTCATATTATTGCTGCTTGGGGTAGAGACATGACTACTCAGTGTCGTGAATTTTGTGAGGACTATGACCAACCCTGTGGAATGACAGTATAGCAAGTAAGGAACATCACTTAGAGAAAGTT